CTTTTACAGAAAGTTGAGGCGGCCAATCCTATTAATTTAAATCTCAGGTTCAGCTTTGCCTTCTTTGTGTAAAGGTTCCATTGTCAACTCAATTTTCAAATTTTTGTGTTCCTCTGAGCATGTCGGTATATTTGCAGCTTGAAGTGAGATTTTGTTTTTTGTGAAGATTAATAACCAATCAATGTGTATCCTCTCCGTGCTGCCATACATACACCAGTACAAACATAAGAGTTGCCCCATCATCTCTTTTCTAGTTCTCTGGCCAAAAAAGTGTGGTTTATCTGTGTGTTTTGGGTACCTACAACCTCCAATGAATAAAACCAAGAGATCTGAGAAACATTAAGTGGGAGCCATCTTCAAGACAAGAGTTGATGATGCCTCAGTTGGAAAGAACTTATAATCCAATTCTATATTACTATTTTTATTATACCTTAGTCTTTTAGTTATAATCTTTGACGCTGGTGAGCTGACCGTCTTGGGTCCTGAAAGTCCTAGGAGTTGGTCAGTGATCCACTATGTAGGCTGTGGTCAGCTCATCACCACATTGTCACCAGGTGAATCGGGCTCTTCCTCGTTCCAACATTGTCTACAATCTTTATGAGTATTCAGTACCAGAGGACATGTACCAAGAACACATCAACGAGGTCAACACTGAGTTGTCAGCACCAGACATCGAGGGCGTGTACGAGACTCAGGTGATTTTTCTCCCTGGCTGCTGACCACTTGGTTGAAAATGAAGTTGGATGATGAGAGAGAATCCCACAGGGAATCGGGCAGGGGGCAGTGGTGGGCAGGTGGACTAGATCGTGATGGCTGTCAGCAGCATGTCTACCTAAGGTGGTCTCTTCTGGGTGAAGACAGACTATGCTGCGGCATGTGGCCTCAGATAGAGCTGTGGTGCTAGAGTTTCCCATTTGACCCAACATACTAACCACTCTGCCAGGTCCCATTGTTATTCCGGGCCCTTGTACAGCTGGGATGTGTGTGTGTGGTCAACAAACAGCTGGCAAGGCACCTTTCAGGCTGGGAAGCTGAAACCTTTGCCCTCGAGCACCTTGAAATGCGTTCTCTGGCCCAGTTCAACTACTTGGAACCAGGTATGGTTTTACCAATAGCCCTATCACCTGCCTTGCCTGCCCTACATCTCAGGCAACGGATTTACTTTCTTCTACAGGGAGTATCCGACACATCTACCTGTACCATCATACACAGGGCCACAAGGCACTCTTTGGGGTCTTTATCCCCTCACAGCGAAGAGCATCTGTGTTTGTGTTGGATACTGTGAGTCACTGGGCCCAGGGCATGTGAGAATATGTGGGTCAGGCAGAATATGGGAAGAAAGGCACTATAACTGCCCAGCTACACACATATAGCAGGCCTAACAGTTGGTGTCTGCTCAGGTGCGAAGCAACCAAATGCCAGGGCTCAGTGCCCTGTACTCAGCAGAACACAGCCTGCTGCTGGACAAGGTAGGCCCCAACCTCCTGCCTCCCCCAAAACACACCTTTGAAGTTCGTGCTGAAACCAACCTGAAGACCATCTGTAGGGCCATCCAGCGCTTCCTGCTTGCCTACAAGGTAAGAGAATTTGGAGTCCAGTGGTGAGTGTCTTCCCATCCTGAGGCTTTGTCCACTGAGCCCTTTTTTGCCTTCTCAACCCAGGAAGAGCGCCGGGGGCCAACGCTCATCGCTGTCCAGTCTAGCTGGGAGCTGTGTAGGCTGACCAGTGAGATTCCAGTCTTAGAAGAGTTCCCACTAGTGCCTGTCCGAGTGGCTGACAAGATCAGCTATGCAGTTCTGGACTGGCAGCGCCATGGAGCTCGCAGAATGATCCGGCACTACCTCAATTTAGACATTTGCCTTTCACAGGCCTTTGAGATGAGCAGGTGAGGAGTTGGATGTAGCTCAGTAGTAGAAGTTAGCTAGAAAGTGCAGTTTCCAGTACCACATACACAAGAAGAGACATAAACAAGTGGCACTACAAGCTGGGTGCCTACAGTGTGTGACCCTGTGAATGATCCCTAAATGATGCTAGTATACTTGGGACTAAACCTGTACCCCTATGTAGGTACTTCCACATCCCTGTTGGAAACCTGCCAGAAGACATCTCCACCTTTGGCTCTGACCTCTTTTTTGCACGCCACCTCCAGCGCCATAACCACCTGCTTTGGCTGTCCCCTACCTCTCGGCCTGACCTGGGTGGGAAGGAAGCTGATGATAACCGCCTTGTCATGGAGTTTGATGACCGAGCCACTGTAGAGATCAATAATTCTGGCTGTTACTCTACTGGTGAGTGAGAGAAGGGAAAGATGGGCTCCTCTGCTCAACCATATGGAAGAAACTCAAAGGCAAATCTTAAGAAATGGGTACCGTAAGTTAGATGTTAGTCAGAGGTCATGTGCCATGCTTGACCTTGCAGGCAGCACTGACTGTCCTATTCGTGGCAATGACTGGCTCAGACCTGGGAAATGATCCTAGTGCTGGCCAGGGTACATGGACAAGGACATTTTCTCTGCAGTGTGCGTGGAGCTGGACATTCAGAATCTGGCAGTCAACACCATCCTCCAGTCCCACCACGTCAATGACATGGAGGGGGCTGGCAGCATGGGTATCAGCTTCGATGTGATCCAGCAGGCCTCCCTAGAGGACATGGTTACAGGCAATCAAGCTGCCAGTGCCCTAGCCAGCTATGATGAGACAGCTCTCTGCTCTAGTACCTTCAGGTATCTACCCTCATAATATCCTACTGTCCTAGCCAAGGCAATGGGGAACGTAACCTCCACTTTAGAATGCTAAAGCCAGAGTCAGCAAAATATATCTATGGTCAGGGGCTCCGTGTGTAGCTCTGGATTGCCTAAAGCTCACTGTGTAGACTAGACTGGCCTCAAATTCATAGAAGGCACATACCTCTGCCTTCCAGGTTCTGAGATTAAAGGTGTGTGACACACATTCAGCTTTTTTTTTTTTAAAGATTATTTTTTGTTGTTATTTTTTTATTAAGTCATTTATTTACTTTACATCCTGATTGAGGCTTCCCCTCCCTCCTCCCAGTTCCTCCCTCTCACCTTCCCTTCATCTCATCCACCCTTTCTCTCCTCAGAAAAGGGGATGGTTCCCATGGATGTGTGTGTGTGTGTGTGTGTGTGTGTGTGTGTGTACACGGACATGCACGTGCATGGGAGTATGGGTGTCCAAAGAGGCCAGAGGAGCCAGATACCCTGGAACTAGTTACAGGAGGTTGTAAAACACGTGATATGAATATTGGGAATGGAACTCCAGTCCTGTGGAGGAGTAGTATGTGCTCTTAACTACTGTGCCATCTCCAGCCTTAGCGTCAGCATTCCTGAGATGTCCGTCCCTTGAGTCTTCCATAATGCAATCAAGGACCCCCACATCCCTGCCTAGTTACTAATAGGCAGTACAAGTGCTATCATCTGACCTTTCTGAGGCCTGAGGCTTTTCTCACAAAGAACTTTTTGATACATAATTGCTTTCAGTGTAATCAAAGGTGTATCTGCAGGAAATTCCCAGAGTACCCAGCCTAATGAGTCATAGTAGCCAGTATCGTCTGTCAGAGATAGGGTCAGCCCTGGCTCCTAGTGATGGAATAATGTATACTGTAGAGTGGTTCCTTTGTACCAGAAACACAGAGCACTTTACTCTGCCTATATTTCCATAGCCATACAGAGTGGTACAGTCTTCACTCATGCTAGAAATGGCAAAGCCAGGGTCATAGGGGCTGTGGTCATGATGTGTTACTGTGGCTAAGTACAAGGTAAATGTTTTGTGTCTGTGATTCTAAAACATGTATTTCAGCCCTGTTGCCTCCAAATGAAGGAAGAGAAAAATTTGATAAAGTAAGAACTAGGTTAGGAAAGCTGGGAACTGAGCAGAGTTGTAGCAGAAAAAGTGTTTCAACCCTGAGCAGCAGGTGAGGATCAGACCCAGATAGCAGCAACCACCCAGTTGAGGGAAGTGAACATTTGCACAGAAAGCCATTAAAGTGACCTCAGCATCATGTCTCTGATACTCTGGCTCCTTCGTGATCCAAGTCCAGTATATTCTATCTAAGCATTGAGTTGGTTCCAGGAACCTCCCCTGTGTATCATTGGTGTCTGGAAAATGCAGCTTGGGCCAGTCCCTAGTTCTTCACATGGAAGGTACATAATCAACTCTATGACTCTTCATTCCTACTCTTCTCACAGTGAGACCATTTCTCAAAAAAATAATCAAGACTACTGCTACTGCACAGGACATGAGTTTAGCTCCCAGCATTCATGTTGAGTAGTTGACAACCACTGTAAATCTAGCTCCAATGTATTAGACACCTTCTGGCTTCTGTGGGCACCTAGATTCACTGTACATACCATCACAGCTACACATAAATTTTGAAAAATTTAAAATAAATCTTAAGAAGGACAAAGCCTATTATGTGCCTCTTTGTCCAGGTGTGATAAGCAAGTCAGGGAGTTGCATGGAGGGAAATGGTGAGGAGGTGAAGCTCACAAGTTATAGGGCCAAGGAATGAAACTCAGACGATGGCAGTTAGGGGTTATGAGAAGGAACAGTGATGCCGACAACAGCATATGGTACGGTTCATCCTCCTTTGTCATCTTTCAGGATCCTGAAGAGCATGGTGGTTGGCTGGGTAAAGGAAATCACACAGTACCACAACATCTATGCTGACAACCAGGTAATGCACTTCTACCGCTGGCTCCAGTCTCCATGCTCTCTGCTCCACGACCCAGCCCTTCACCGAACACTGCACAATATGATGAAGAAGCTCTTCCTGCAGTGAGTGTTTCACCCTGCACTCTGGGCTGAGGGACATGAGTCAGTGCCTTTGGGATGTATAAAGCCCAGGGCAGTCTTAACTGCTGTTGTGGTAGAGGCAGGTGGATCTCTGATGTCAAGGCCACCTTGGTCTACAGAGCAAGTTTGAGGCACGCCAAGGCTACTCAGAGAAACCCTGTCTCAAAACAAAACAAAACAAAACAAAACAAAAAAACCAAAAACCCAAATGGAGTTCCCCATGGGGCCCTGGTGTGCAACAGTTGTAAACAGCAGCCTCCTTAATAGTGTATACAGCTGGTTGCCTATATGAGTTGTCCTAGGGGACCTTGGAGACAATCTCTGGCAGTTATTCAAGTTTCTGATCTCAGTGCTGTCCCCAGTTTAGGCTCCAGACAGGTATTCATGGTACCTTTGGGAAGCCCCAGGGCTCAATGGCCAGGGTTCTCATTGGCCAGGTCATCATGTCCATCCTCACTAAGCTGCAAAGAAAGCAACATGTGATTTAGGTTCCTTGTAGAGCTAAATTCAAGTTCCATGACCACCTCAAAGAAGTGGGCGGGCCTTTATCAAATTTAATGCTTCTATGGGCAATTTGATGACATGATTGCTGAGAAGTAGCTCATTCCTGATGTCTGTGTAGTCAAATATACCCCAATCATGTTCACCTGGACAATGGGGTGAGAACCATCTCAAAACAAAAAACCAAAACCTAAATGAGTTCTGTATGGAAAGGAGCTGTTTATATATTATAAATATTATGTAATAAGAGTTTACTTAGCCGGACAGTGGTGGCGCACACCTTTAATCCCAGCACTTGGGAGGCAGAGGCAGGCGGATTTCTGAGTTTGAGGCCAGCCTGGTCTACAGAGTGAGTTCCAGGACAGCCAGGGCTACACAGAGAAACCCTGTCTCGAAAAACCAAAAAAAAAAAGAAAAGAAAAAGAGTTTACCATTTTTATGCACCATTTTATTATCTATTGCTTTTGTTCCTGCTATTTTTCTGCCATGCTGGACTCCCATCTGAAAGCAGAGGAGGGATCTTGCTCTGCTGTGGGAGGAGATGCACCTGTAGTCACAGCTGCTCCGGAAGTTGAGACATGAGGATTGCCTGAGTCCTAAAGTTCAGGGTCAGGCCTAGTAGTGGAGCCAGACTTCATCTGTTTTTGTTTTGTTTTTTAATGGTTATGAGTGTTTTGTCTTTGTGTGTATCTATACCATGTGTGTGCCGGGTACCCAAAGAAAAGAAAAGCCAGTACCCCTGGGAACTGAAATTATAGATGGTTGTGAGCATCCATATTGGTGATAGGAATCAAACCTTTTGGGAAACCAGCTGATGCTCTTAACACTTTTGGCATCTCTCCAGCTCCCAAACCTCATCTTAAAAGAGAAAGAAATTTCTTTATCGCTTTTGGGTCCTGAATCTCTGTTCTTTTTGCTCATTCTAAGCATAGTTAGGATACTTTTCTTTTTGAATTATTTATTTTATGTATGAGTGCACTGTAGCTGTCTTCAGACACACCAGAAGAGGGCATCAGATCCCATTACAGATGGTTCTGAGCCACCATGTGGTTGCTGGGAATTGAACTCAGGACCTCTACAAGAGCAGTCAATGCTCTTAACCACTAAGCCGTCTCTCTAGCCTCAGGATACTTCTTGTTTCAGTATCACCATGGTCTTCTTCATGGTTTCTTTTTATATTTTTGGGCTTCCTTTTAGACCAAGGCACCTCCTCCATTAATTATAAACATATTCCACAGGCTCATTGCTGAGTTCAAGCGCCTGGGGTCGTCAGTCATCTATGCCAACTTCAATCGCATCATCCTCTGTACAAAGAAGCGCCGGATAGAGGATGCCCTTGCCTATGTGGAATATATCACCAACAGGTTAGTGGAAGGGATGTCCTGGTTGGTGATGCAGCTGCCATAGCTTTGGAGGGATGTTTGAGGGTATCTCCATTGCTGATGAAGAAATCACACCAAGGGTTAAGCACAGCAGCATGAAAGAGTGGCTACTGCATTGTGGTATACCTATGGTAGACAACTCAGATATAAAGCATGTTGTTCAAGTCTGAAGTATTAAAGGAATACCACCTTCTGGTTATAAGAAGGTTCTATAAAGTGCTGTTGCATAAACATTTCACAGATATGAGTTGGTCACATGGGAGTATTTTAATTCCAGATGGTCGGTCATCAAGTTATCAATTGAAGGACCCTGTTTTATACCTTTGGCTTCAGGCAGTGATTACTGTCTGGATGAATCATATTCTCAAATCTGATTGGGCCCAAGGCTCCAATATGAATAAGATGAAGTTTTGAGGGTTTGACTTTGGGTTTGGTGTTTAGTTTTATTTTTGAAAAAGAGAGAAAGTGTATGTGGGTGACTAAAGCAAAAGAGGGTGTCAATCAGATCTCTTGGAGACAGTTACAGCTACCCAATCCAAACTCTAGTTCTGATAGAGCAATAAATGTTCTTAACAGCACATACTCATGTACATTAAGGTAAATAAATAAGCATATCTTTTTAAAAAAAGAAATGAGGAATCTGTTTAGAATCTCCTTCCCTCCTTGAAGGTACCGAGGGTGGGATTAGTGATAAAGACCAATTTAGCTAGGGGTGGTACCAGTGAAGAAAACTTACGGTGCTTGAAAACAGGAAGCAATGCTGCCAATGACGTGTACCCAACTGAGGTAGAGGCAGTGGACCTGGGCTTCCCTGGCTTCCCTCTTGGTTACCTTCATTTCTGGGCAGTTGTTCATAGGCAGCTCCTTCAGTATGCTAGGAAGTTTGGGGGAGTGTCTGAAGTTCATTTGTAAATAAAAGGATGAGTATATAGCTACAGAGGGAAGGGAGGAGCAAAGGAAGCTTCGGTGTCGCTTTCATAGTTTCTGTCTGGCTTCTTGCAGCATCCATTCTAAAGAGATCTTTCATTCCCTGACAATCTCTTTCTCTCGATGCTGGGAATTCCTTCTCTGGATGGATCCATCCAACTATGGTGGAATCAAAGGAAAAGTTCCATCTAGTATTCACTGTGGACAGGTAAAAGAGGTAGGTATGGTCCACATATATATGGGACCACATTCACCCCTGTGGCACATACTGTTTACCCCTGTAAGTCCTGTTTCCTGGGTCTTACACGAAAAGTTAGGGGTACAGTGTTAGCCCTGGTGAGGGCAAAGAGCTTTCCATGAGGCAGAACCTGGCAAAACCCATGGAAAAGAGGGAGGAGAGTTGTGGAAACACTGGCAAAGCCAGACATGTCAAGAGAACAAGACACCCTGGGAGCTGAGATTGATAGCTCAGGCACATTGGGTGTTGGGGCAGTAGTTTCAGGTGATCACAGAGAACTAGCAGTGTCCACTTTTTGCACAGAATGTAATTCAGTATTAGGATGGAAATTCTAATTTACTTGCCCTCTCTGAGACTAACACACACCACAAAAGGAAGAAAAACAAGCAGTGTTAGATCAGGGGAGGGATTCCAGTGCAGAGTTGTGAAAAGGCAGGGTCTGGGAGCCAGCAGGTGAATTTATTGATGCACAATACCTGTGAGTGAATGGGGGTTGCATCCAAGAGCCATGTGAGGAAAGGGTGTGGTATTTATGAAACGGAGATACAGCTGATCACCTTGTGCTAGAGTAGTACCCAGGAGATAGACCAAGATGACAGACTCTCGTTCTCCATGGCATCCTTGTAGATGGCCCAAAGGGGAAGCACTGGAAAGCAGGAAGACTGGAAGCTGAGGGACAAGGACAAGACTTCCTTAGGCACCATGGCTTAAAGGTCTAGACAGGAACAGTTTTAGTTAGAGTTGAGATTAGGAGATAGACTTCACTGAGGGGGGGCAAGGAAATGTGGCCATCAGGTAATGGCATAGTGTTAGTGTCAACTTTTCCTATAAGCTGATGTAGAAGTGAATTCACCCTGGCAGGATCACAGGCATACAGTCAAGTTGTGCCTGTGGGAAAATTGTCACCAACACAAGAGGTTCTATTTTGTGAGATGGATTCTGAGTGTGTAGTTTGGGCTGGCCTTAATCCTTATCACCAGAGACTCTTCTGCCTTAGCATCCTGAGTATTGAGCCATAGGTTCAAGGCACTGCTCCCAACTAAAGAAGAAATTGTTAAAGGATCAGAAGAAGCTGGTCACTGGGAAGTTCTGGTTGGAAGTTGGATAATTTTGTAGTTCCCTCTAAAAGAGTAATTATGAGAATCACAGTTCCCTGTCGCCATAGTGAGCTAGACATGCTCCATGGAGCACTGGTCTTCCAGGAAACTGAAGCTGAAGGAGTCCTGCCTTCCATGTTACTATATGTTACTGCCATGGTGGAAATAGGGGTTGTCTTTGTGTTGTAGCAAGACTCCCAGGCAAGAGAGGAAACTGAGGATGAGGAGGACAAGGAAAAGGATGAGGAGGAAGAGGACATGGGAGAATCTGAGGTTGAGGACTTACTGGAGAACAATTGGAACATTCTACAGTTCTTGCCACAGGCAGCCTCTTGCCAGAGCTACTTCCTCATGATTGTCTCAGGTGAGCCTAGCTGAAGCTGAACACCAGCTGAGCTACTGAAAGTGGTTCTGCTCCTTGATGTGGGGAGGACAATGGCAAGCTCAGTGGAGCTGCTGCTGTCTTTACCTTTTCCCAGCATAAGGACCAGAGACAACTAATGGAAGGGCTTTCTGTCTTCTCTCTAGGCCTGAGCAGCTCCCCTGAGGGAGTCCCAAAGCTGTTTCCTAGTTCTGTTTCTAACAGGTTCATGACTAACATCCCTGGGAACATGTACATGCTCATACAATAGCAAGGCTGGCCTCTGGGCGTCACTAACAAAGAAACTCATAACGTGAAAGTGTTTATAAACCTGGTTATTGTGGTCAATATGCAAATAAGCATAAAGTTACACTTTTATAATTAGATGCCATTCATTAAAACAGAAAAGCAAGTGATGAGCATGGTCATTAAACTGTCAACAGATAGACAGGGCTTCTCACACTCTCACGGGTCTGTACCAACAGGTGGTTTCATTTGTGATTGCTTACGTCTTTGTCTACATCTTTTCCAAGTTGTCTCAAGAAATATCCCAGGCTAGCTGAGCAGTAGTGTGCATGCCTTTAATCCCAGCACTTGGGAGGCAAACACAGGTGAATCTCTGAATTCAAGGCCAGCCTAGTCTACAGAGCAAGTTCCAGAACAGCCAGGATTATACAGAGAAACTGTCTTGAGAAAACCTTTTTTTAAGAAGAAAAGAGAAGGAAGGAAAGAAGAGAAATACTCCAGGCATGAGGGCTCAGGTTTTACGGTACTGTCAGCATTTGCTGTTAAGGATCTGTTTTCATAAACTATC